TTGCAGCTTATTGTCCTGCCCAGGACTGGGTATTGAGCCTAGTAAGAGCACTGGATTTCTTTGCCAGAAAGATTCTGCTTCCAGGCTTATTTCTTAACAGAGAGACCGGCTGGGCAAGTGGAGGGCACACGTGGAGCAGATCATCCCCAGCTTTTGACTCAGCATCTGTAAATACATTAATATGATTTTTTATTTTAAAGAAAGGGGTGAGGATGGGCAGCAAGACACTGCAATGTGTTGGCAAAGCTCTGTGCTGAAGACAGGGAGGGTCCAGAGCTGCCCTTTCTGCGTGGTGCTCCAGCCCTAAATTGCCCTGTGAAGAGAGGCTGGTGGGGGATATTCTTATTTATACACATAGAAAAATATTACTACTGGTTAGTGGGGAGAGAAACAGCCCAGGAACACTTGTACAGCTCTTGCTCCTTTCCTGTAGTCATGTCCCTGGGCTAAGCAAGGGATTATAGAAACTTTTGGGCCACTTTTGTAAGTTCTTCACCCAAGGCACTGCACTGCATCTCTCTGGTGAGGCACTGCCAGGGATCCAGCAGCATCAGCAATGAAGCTGGACTTTTCTTCTCTCTTTCCACTATTTTTTTTTACCTTATTGTACAGAAAATGTCAGTCCTCACATCACCCCCCTCCCTCTTTTGGGGGGCTCCCGGAAACATCTGTAAAAGGATTTGAATTAAGGATTACCCAGACTCTCTGTGATCAGCTCCAGGCAATCAGCTGCTCAAAGGTTTCCTTTTGTTTAATCCATATTGGCCCGGACCTTCAAATTGCTGAGAAAAGCAAAACAGGCAGGTTTGCTGGGGAAAACAAACAAACAAACAAGCAAACAAACAAAACACCCTGGCACTAAATAGCTGAAATAAATAGTGTTGGCTGGCAGGAGAACAACCCCAGGGAACAGGGAGAACAACCACAGGGAACATTGTGTGTGCACAGGGATGGCGGGACCGGCCACCACTGTCAGTGGTGTTTAATAAGCCAAATTAATTCATCTCATTGCTGAACTTGTTGGTTTAAAATATTTCTGTCTAAGCCAGGGGGTCTTTAATGAACATGGTGGTGGTGGTCTCTTAGTCAGCAGAGAGAGAACCTGCACCACCAATAAACAGCCCAAACTGTAATTTTACTGCAGAGAGCAGTGCTAGAAAATAGGGTGGGGAGGGGCGTGCAAAAAAGCCAGCTGGGAGGCTTATTACTCATAGCTATGGTCCTTAGTTATCCTCTTTCTTCTTCCTGCTCCAGGCTTCATCCATCTTTTGGGATTAATCAGTGGTTATTAAAATAGGAAAGTGTGTGGGCAAAGCTGCTGCGTTTTGCACCACCCCACACTGTTGATAGCACTGACTTGGGTTTAGGAAAAGTCAAGTGCACTGAAGGCACAGGCATCTTCTCGTCAGCTCCAAGTCATCTTATTTTTTTCCTGAGTAAAATTGTCCTCCCATTTGCACCATCTCCCCTTGAGCTAGACTGAATCCTTCTTTAAATGTCACCTTTTCTTTGCCCACATATTAAAAATAAATAAATAAATAAATAAATAAGAAGCAAACTGTGCTCATTTGCTTCAAAACCAGAATTGTTTAGAATTGGTGCTGACTTGCAAACCAGAGAAGTCCCTTTTTTTTTTTTTTTCTGTACCACAGAGCTGGGCTGCAGTAAAAGCTTCACCACCTCACACTGCAAAACATGTCACTTTTTTACTGACTGGACTTGATGGCACTTCCATGAGACCTTTGCATTTTTTTTCCTGGTTCAGATACTCAGTTTGCTGTGGACACTCAAGCACACACACACGCTCGCTGTAGCTTGCCTTTGCTCTGTAATTTTTTTCCATTTTTTAGGGAAAAAGAACTTTGTTATTCTTCTCTTTTTAAAAAAAAAAAAAAAAGTAATTTAAAACCTGTACAGCATTCCAAGTATGCAGTGTAAATATTTAGTCCTCAGCAATTAGCAGAGGGTTCTCTTTTGCGACTGAGTTGTGGGTTTGATTTTTAAATCTTGTTCCATGTGCAGGTTGGAAAAGAAGCAACATGTCCAACCCACCCTGTCTTCCCTGATAAAACCATTTCTTTGGGGTTTCAGGACTGTTATAAATACATTTTCAAACCTTTTCTGCTGATCTACACCTTTAGTTTTGAAGTTACCTATCCAAAGATTGTGTACAGTCCCTTTGTAACCTACTTTGCTATAAATTTGGGTTATTTTTTTTTTTTCCCGTTCAGAGGACTCAGTAATCTTGTGTTTGAAAGTGGCATCCACGCCCTGCGCGTGCAAACTGCTGCTTGTTGTTACAGAGAGCGGCAGCAGCTCCTTGGTGAGACACAGCTCTCCTCGCACAGTCCCCCGGGGCCGTCACGGTGAGCACAGCGAGCCCCCCCGGATTTGGGAGGCACCTGTAACGCTGTAATTCCTTGCACAGCACGTTTGGGATCCCCTTGGGTTTTCCAAGGGATCCACGGCCCCTGCTGCACAGCCCCACGTCCCACAGCAGCGTGGCCGTGCAGTGCCTGCAGCTTCCAGCGTAGTTACACCGTTAGTTACTCCCGAGCTGAGCGTGATCCTGTAGTACAAACCGCTTTTTAGAAGAGGATCCAACGTGCTGCTGCAGGAGCAGGGAGCACCAGGCTGGGAACAGCGTGAGCCTGGCCTCCGTGTGAGGCTGCTGAAGGAACAGAAGGGTGTGGGAGAGAAACCTGATGAGCCAGATGAGTTGGTTCCAACTGAGCTAACCCAGCTGGCCGTGAACTTGTAAATAATGGGTGCAATTACCATTGTTTTCTTCGTGCTTTCTTCACCCTGTGTGCAGGACGGCAGGAACACTCACTGTTTGTTCTAAACTAGAGACAGTAAAGCATGTAAAATACTAGAGACTGTGGTAAGTAGAAAGCAGGAATGCTCTGGCTTTGGCTCGTGTCCACCCTCCCGGGACCTGGAGTTCTGGGTGGCCTGAGAGTTTAGAGAATCATTTGAAAGGATGGAGGTTTTGGGGGGACAGAAGGAAGCTCTGCAAGGCTGTGGGAGGTGTCTGAGCAGGCTGTTCAGGTACCAATGGTCAGCCTTCACAACCAGTGGAAAACAGCTCTGCCTTGGTTCAGAGCACAGCTTTACCCCACAGATGACCCGTAACCAGCAGGGACTCCTTCTGGGTTAAACCCGCTGTCTGCCACTTGTACATGGAAAAGACCCGAAGGAATTGTGAGCAAGGAGGGTGCAAGAGTCACTTCTGTGATGAGGGGATGCAGCAGCCAGCCCTCCACCTCTGACCTGTGACGTGGCTGAGCGGCAAAGTGGCATCAGAGCCCGGGCAGTGCTGGGGATGCTGCAGCCTCTTCTGGCCTCCCACACGGGGTATTTTCCCTCTGCAAAGGGGAAGGGCGTGGGAGGCTCCTGTTTCTCAGTGTGTGTGAGTTCCTCTCTCCTTCCCTTCTCCCTTCCACTCCCAGTTTTATTTCAGTGCTTTTTTTAAGGGCCACCATTCCCCATCGGCTGCTCGCTGTGATAGGCACATCCCTTCTCCTCACAGTATTTATTCCTTACAGATCCCTGTGTGACATGCTAGGCTCCTCTGGATGTAGCTGATCATTTTTACTTTGTAAATATAATTACCTAACTTTACGTTAACGATATCGTAATAAACTATTTTTGCACCACCCTTTGCACGCCGTGTGTGAGGTGTTTTCTTTCGAGAAGAAGAACAGGGCAGAGGCCAGAGCCTGAAAATGAGGGAGTTGTTTGCTTTTACAGTCCCACTTCACAAAGGAAAAGCAACAGGCAGCATTTTAATAAGCAGTAATACATTTAAAGTAGTTTAAATCTAGTGCTGTTGAACAGGATTTACTAGAGAGTGACCTTCCCCAAGTGCTTCTGTAGTTGCTACACCACAGGTAACATCACGTTCTTTCCTCTAAATTAACTTTCTCAGGCAGAACAGAACAAATCTTCAATCTCTGGTGACATCCATGTCTCCTAAATAACTCCTAAGGATCTACAGGAACTGCAGTGCAAAAACCAGATGAGGATGGTGAGGTTTTCTGTGAAAATGGTTTATTTGGCAGTGCCAGTCACAGCACCGCTGGTAAAAAACTGGTAACAGAATATCAAATAATCTCTCAAAGTGGAAAAAAAGGTTAAGGCACATTGTATTCAGTGTGAAACAGTTCCTACACAGCCACTATTCAGAGTTTGAAATCCTTTGGTTCACACCATTTTGGTTCCACTCTGAGCTGCAGGGACAGAGGTGTCACCTCCCTCCCCCTGCTCTCCCCTCCCTGCTGTTGCCAGCACAGGTGAGGTCACTGACCCAGACCAGGACATGGTGTCCCAGCACCTGAATGAACCAGGCTTTCCAGACCTCTCCTGGCATGGGTGACCCAACTCCAGCCATGTCTGCTCTCCAGACAGACAGACTGACTGATCCCAGATAACAATTTTTTCCCCATTTCCTTCCAGTCTTCCCTACACTTCCTTGGAAGACCAGTCTGTCATTAGTATCTGTGCTCATTCCTTTACACCAGAGCTCTCTAGTAATCTTTAACCAAAAGAAACATATACACCATCAAAACTTAGAAATTTCTGCCTATTTCCCACAAATTTCCTTTTACAAACTCTCAACAATGAATGCCAACAAGAAATGTAACTCAGGTGCTTAATCTACACAAACTCAAACTGCTGCAGCCCTCTAATCAATCTCTCCTTTAGTTACTGGTGCAGAGGAGCCATTGGGACACAATTCCATCTGCAGTACCCCGAGTTGGCAAATGTGTCTTTTACCACTGAAACACCTGCCCAGCATGGTATGAACACACCTTGACTGCACCAAGGCACAGCAACGAGCTGGCCCAATGTTTTAATGCCTCTGAATGCGGCTCTATCGCTGTCATCCTCACAAAACAACTCGCCAAACAGGCGGGCCGTTCCCTCTAGCACAGGAATGACCTGCAGCAAGGGATCTGTGTCATTTTAGGGCACCGAGCACTCCGTTTCTCTGCACCCAGACGGGCACAAAAGCAATGATGTCTACACAAAATAATAAATTCGTGGAGCTGTTAAGTGCTCCACGTGCTCTCCACCAGCCCCGTGCGGCAGCTCCATCAGTTACTGACTTTGGGAAAGCTGTAATTGGCGGGGTTGTACTCCTCCCAGATCCTTTCGAACTCGTCCAGAAAAGGCTTCACGCACGCGGCGTCGTCCACGACCAGCACGTTCTCCCTGTTGCTCTGGATGGCCTGGGTGGTCCAGTTGAGCGAGCCCGTGATGAGCACCCTGCGGTCCACGATGGCGAACTTGTGGTGCATGTACCCGCTGTGCTGGTCGTGGCGCACCTGGATCCCTGCAAAGACACGGCAGCTGTTGAGGGGCTCCCCGAGCCTCCCCCCCCCCGTGTGTCCCCCCCCACCCGCCCGGTCCCGGCGCCCACCCGCGTGGCGCAGGCGGCCGATCTGCGAGCCGTGCAGCCCCATGTACTGCGCGTCCGTGACCAGGCGGACGCGGACCCCGCGGCGGTGCAGGAGGTGCACGGCGCGGGCGAGCTGCGGGCAGGAGAAGGAGAAGATGCAGAGGTCGAGGGAGCGGCGGGCGGAGAGGAGGCGGCGCACCAGGCGGCTCAGCGAGGTGTCGGCCCGCGGCAGAGGGCACGGGCAGGGCCGGGCGGGCGCGCCGGGAGCCGCCGCCTCGGCCAGCAGAGCCTCGAGGCAGCAGGGCCGCGACGGGAAGAACAGAACCTCCCGCAGGGGCCGCGGCCGCCGCCAGGCCGCCACTGCTGCCACCGCCAGCGCGGCCGCCGCCGCCGCCACGGCGAGGACCGAGGCCGGAGGGAGCCCCGCGGGGCTCATCCCGCGGGACACATCCCCGTGGAGCGCCGCGCAGGCGCCCGGGGCAGCGGGGAGGGGCTGCTGGGGCTGGGGCTGAGCGTGAGGCTGGGCCTGAGACTCTTCCTGAGCCTTCCGGACACAGCGAAACCCCCCCCCCCACACACACCAAACCCTTCCCGAAACATTTGAACGAGCCCTTTCCAATACACCAAACCTGCACCCACACGCGAGCGCTCGTACACTGAACCCTTCCCTTCCCCGCACCTCCAACCCTTCGCCAAACACTGATCCTTTCCCCGCTGGACCCTTCCCTAAACACCGAACCTTTCCCAAAACACCAAACCTTTCCCCAAACACCAAACCCCTTCCTCACGCACACCAAAACCACACACACCGAACTGATCCCTTCCCCACGCACCAGACCCTTCCCCACACACCGAATCCTTCCCCACACAGCAAACCTTTCTCCAAACACCAAACCCCCAAACACCAAACTCTTCCCCATACAGCCAACCTGTCCCCAAATACCAGCAGATACGCAATAGGCACCCTAAAGATCATCCAGTCAACACCCCCTGCCATGGGCAGGGACACCTTTCATGAGACCAGATTGCTCCAAGCCCCATCCAACCTGGCCTTGGACACTTCCAGGGATGGAGCAGCCCCAGCTTCTCTGGGCAGCCTGTGCCAGGGCCTCCCCACCCTCATAGGGAAGAATTCCTTCCCAATATCCCCTCTATCCCTGCCCTCTGGCAGTGGGAAGCAATTCCTCACTGTCACTCCATGCCTTTGTCCCAAGTCCCTCTCCAGCTCTCCTGGAGCCCCTTTAAGCACTGGAAGGGGCTCTCAGGTCTCCCTGGAGCCTCCTTTTCTCCAGGTGAACACCCCCAGCTCTCCCAGCCTGGCTCCAGCACACGGAACATCTCCATGGCCTCCTCTGGACTCGCTCCAGCAGCTCCACATCCTTCTGATGTTGGGGTCCCAGAGCTGGACACAGTACCCTAGGTGGAGTCTCATGAGGGGGGGGACAATCACCTGCCTTGACCTGCTGGATCCTGCCCAGCTGAGGGGACAGGGGTGGCAGAACTGGTGCAAAAAAGGCTTTGTCTCTCCCTGCACCCAGCGGTGACCCCGGGCTGGCACTCCGGCACTCGCCGCTCCCACCTCGCTCCCAGGTACGCGCTGCTCAGCCAGGCAGGAAAGGAAATCACCTCGGAATAAAGAATTATCCTGCCTTAATCAGCTTGTCTCTAAGGCGTATCGTTTGGAGGGGAGGAGGGTGGTGAAAGATGTCTGCAGACATGACTTCTTGTTAATTAAGTCGTGCACATTCCAGCTATCGCTGACGGCAAAGGGAGCACCCGCGGCCTCGGCGAGCTGCAGGAACTTGCCCAGACAACTGTTTGGTAATCCCACATATAGATGTGTTCTGGCAGCCGAGCACATCTGGGTTATATGCTCACTGACTTAGCAGCTCTCCCCCTTTCTTTCCTGTGGGCATTTTATAAGCGTTAAGTTGGTGGTTTCCTCGCCCTGGCTCAGAAATTATGTGTTATCCAGAGTCTGGTTGTCCATGACAGCCCTGTTTCAGGTCAGGATGAAGATGGATCAACATCCCATATGACTCACCAGGCACAAGCAGCCTCAGCCTTGACCTTGTGACCACCTTTTCACAGTTTTGGAAGGAGCCACTAGACTGGGTTTTGATGTTGGATTGCTTAGGAGAGCTGGATTTTAAAAGATAAAACCAGTTCAGCAATTGAGAAGGTCTAAATGCCAAGTAATGTCTCACCTGCTGTGTTACACAGCTCTGAATTGGACCAGAAGAGTTTTCAAGTACAAAAATAAAGACTACCAAGTCACTCTACAAGAAACTAACACAATGTTAAGAGAGAAAGACTACTAAATTCTGTAGGTGAGATCTAGGGCAAGATGCAGGAATTTTAGTGGACCAGCTGCTGCTTCCCCCACCACAACACACACACACACACAAACACACTGCAAATTAACACAAAACCAGGCTTTGTTCCTTTTACAAAAATAGCTCTTATGAGATTTAATGCCTGTCTCCATTTTACAGATGTTCCAGACAAAAATCAACCTGCATATTTTATATATAAGAACAGAACTCGTGACAAGTTGGAACATCCTCTCTGAGCTTGAATGAGTGTAGAAGGGCACCTGGGTAAAACCTGCCTTTAACTTGTTCAGAATGTCTGTGGTAATGTCAAGTTTTCCCAATAATGATCCAGAAAAACCAAAAAAAAAAAAAATAGACATAAACCCTAGACTTCACAACAGAAACAGTGATTCCTTACAGTACAGATAAGGAATATCTGTTTAGGTAATTAAAAAATGCACCAATGTTTCCATGAACTGTTAAGCAAAAATGGCTACTATAGAGTTATATAAGGGAGCACCTACAGGTTGAATCTTTTCTGCTCAACTTAATTAGGAAGCTAAAAAACTACTTCTGAAGACAGAAGAACTCCAGAACCTTATCCTGGTGAGGGTGTATCTTCATTACCTGGAAGTTCTGCAACCACAGGCAAAACAAGGCCAGTATTTTACCCTCTTGAGAGGAAAGCAGGCTGCATTTCGAGACTTCTTATTTTACAATTCGCCCTCCCAGACAAGATTTCCAAAGCAAATGCTGAAACCTTCTCAAGTTAAGATATAAATAAATAAAGAGGAGTGACAGGACTCCCGTGGGATATCCTGACTTATGCTACAGCAGAAAATAGTCTCTTAAATCTGAGCATAAAGTGGTTTGAAATAATTTACATGTGATCCACACCCTGTGACGTCTCTCTCTTTTTTTTTTTTGGTTCTTGTTCTCTCAGGCATTTTGGAGATTTATGTGGGATTTGCTGAGATTAACCATATCCAATCCCAGGAGCTCTGGCTGTTGTCACAGGTATCTGAGTCTTGCCAAGGAATCTAGAACTGAGGTCTGCTGCCACACCATAATGCTTGACGAGGACAGGATGGGATTTTAATTAATTCACACTGATCCTTTGAGCGTTGCTGAGTTTTAGTCTTGAGTGTGCAGGTGTAGATCGAGAGTTGAGTTTCAGACAGAGAGCAGCACTGTGTATTAGCACTTATTAGTCCAGTCTCACAGCAATTAGAAAAGACTCAAGTCACTCTTCAAGTTGGTTTGAGGACCAGGAGGACAGTGCTGGAGCTGCACTATCCACCTAAAGCACATGCTGCAGGCTCAGCAGAGGTAACTTGGGGTTCCCTGCTCGGAAGGCAGCAGGGGAGGTTGGGCACCCTTTAATTTCGGGACTCTGAGGACGTTGGGCTGCGAACTGTTGACATCAGGTGGGACTTGTACGTCTTGCTCAGGCCGGTCATCCAGAACTTGAGAAGCTTGACGTTGTCCTCCTCTGCAGCTCCCAGAATGCTCAGCAGTTTTTGGGTATCCTCCTTGGGTCTGCTGTCCACTTTGGTGAATTTAAAGAGGACTTTCACTTTACTGCAGAAACAAGAGACTCTTGTCACTGTTAAATGACTGGCTCACCAAATATGGAAGAAGGAGGAACTGGAGTTTCTCTTGGCACCTACTGCAACTAAATATTAACAAAAGCTTCAACCAGTGTTTTGTGGAAACTGTTCTCATGCTTTGATGAGGAAGGGGGATTAGTTGGGGAGATGACTCATTTTCAGGAGTAACAAGCATATTTCTAGTTTGTTTTTTTCATTCTAGCGGAAAGTACAATGATTAATTGTGACAACTGGGAATCTCCCTGGGAGACACATCCAGTGTCCATCTGGCCTTCAGGTAAATTCACAGATTTGTGATGTTCCATGAATTACTTCACATGACTGACTGGTCTCCCTTTACAGCTACTTGCACCTTTGAAATGCAGTGCCTGCAGGCACAAGCCTGACATCTGTTTGGCGTGTTACCTGCGCTGGGATATGGCTGCACACTGACAGGCACTGAGGTATTTGCATACTTAATCCTCCTAAGGAAGGTGAGGCAGACAGGTGTTGTCATGCAGGTAACCTACAGATGTGTGAACTGAAGCATAAAGGTTAAAAACCGCTGAAAGCCAAAAGGAGAGTTAGGACTAGAGCAGAAAAACTCTGATATTCTTAACTCCTGACTTAATTTACTCCTGTAAATCCAGCTACTGTCGAGCTACAGCAGAAGTTACCTGACTACAAGTCTGTCCTGCACTCTGCTGTAACTGCTCCAGGATCAGTGCCAAAGCTATTTCTCTGAAAGCAAAGCAGCTGTACTTACTTCATCCACTCCTCCTTCAGGCAAACAAGGCACTGATCCACAACATCTACAGAGAGGTTCTGGTTGGTCAGGGCAGCTTCGATCTTGTTCAAGATTGTTGGGCCAACTACAGGAGCAGAAAGAGGGGGAAAGGGTGAGAAAGAGGACACACAAGCTAAAAGTTACCTGCTTACACCTTTACTACTGCTTTACTACAGTTAAATACATCCTCCAGTGGCTTGCCTGGATTCCATTTCCACGGAAGAGGAGCTAAAGATCATCCCACAAGAAAAGCATCTGATCCAAGAAGCAACATGGAATTTAGTGTAGGACCCGGGATGTGCAAACAGGGGCCTTTGCATTCTTCAGACCCACTTTTAAATGCTGCTCAGATTTTGTTGTTCCCTTATCAAAAGCTCATTAAAAACACAGTGCTTTGTACAATACACAAATGTGTATATAAAAATATAAACCCTCAATTCTGAAGTCTCCACTTACTCTCAGTTTAATGTTCCTCTTGCTAAGGGTAGTTCCAGGATACTTGGTGAAAAAATAAACCAACATCCAACTCAAGGCACTCCTGGACCACTTTCTGGAATTCCCTAGGAGAATTTTTTTCCCAGCAGTCTGTGGCCTAGTAAGTTTGACGCTTTGGTGGAAAAAAAGACCTTTCAGTGACTATTTTTGTCCAGAAGCTTCTGGACATGCCACTGGTTGGGTGGAAAGTAGACTAATTATACACATGGGATCTACAACAGGAAGAACATGATGGAGAGAGCAAGTGTCT